TATATATATAGAAGAAAAAAAACCACTTGACCAAAAGGGCACCTCAAGGCAAAAGGGGCAGGTGCGGGGGGCGGGGCTGGAGCACCTGCGTATCTGATTTGAGGAGACGCATGGAAGAGGATGCGCGCGCAGCTAAACAGGAAGTGGGTTGTTCAGCTAATAGGAAGATTACTACTTCACAAATCTTCGAACTTTAAACTTTAATAATTACGCTTGCAAAGATGGCTGACGACTGCAGGTAAGGACTAATTATTTCTCATTCGTTAACTCGTTTTGTTAAAGTGATGTTTGACCGTAAACAAGCTGTACAGTTTACTGAGTAAACAAAGTCAGTGGGTTTTTTTAAGTAAACAAAGCGAACCTAAAAACGCAGCACGAAAATTTTTTTTTAAAAAAGAGCATTTAGTGAGTTGAAATGTGTAGCTTACTGTCTATTTAGGAACTCAGTAAGTTTCAAAATATTTAACTATTTGTGGCTGTCTATGGAAGCCCATATGTGCAAAAATGTAAAAGGAAAAAAATAATTTACTACAGGACACTACTACCATACTATCTCTCAAAATTGACTTAATATTTTATTGTGATTCAGCATCTCATAATTATTAGTTTCTCAAAATTATGACATAGTATCTTGTGACATTGATTTATCATCTTAGTTATGTGATATTTCTAAGTTATGATTTAGCATCCAATATACTTGGTACTTTAGACATAGTATCATTATAATACTATGTCATAATTATGCAATATTATTTCATAGATATAATTTTTTTAATATTCAAATAAAATGGCAGAAATGGGATTATATAATAACAAACTTTATAGCCACTATTCTAGAGAAAAGTTAATAAAGCTACTTTTATCTTTTATTTCTGTAGTTCCTGTGGAAATGTGTTTTTTGATAGCAGCATCCATGTAGACGTAAAGGTAATGCCGTTTTCACACTCCTCAGATGTGTTTGTGTTGATGCATGTGTGGAAATCTGAGCTGTGACCTTGAGTCCACAGACTCTTCAGTTCATCTTCCCTGCTTGACAGACCTACAGTATATATATTTTTCTTTTATTATTAGGAATTCTGCTTCACGCTGCTTAGCTTGCTGTCCAATAAGGATCTTCTTTCTGTCTGAGCAGGATTATTATGGAAAGAGGTTACAGAAAAGCTCAGACCTAAAGACCAATGCCTGTGTGACTCCAGCCCAGCCGATCCCATCCTTTGTCCGTGATGCCCTGAAGAAAGTTCACCCTGAAGTCTCTGCCAAGTCAGTGGTGCATGATCTGTTCTTGAAGCCAAAAGGCTCTGATACTGAAGTGCTTCTGATATGCCCTCAGGTACTATGGCTGTGGTCTGGTTGTGCCAGAGTGCTTGGAGGGCTGCAGGATACTGGACCTGGGCAGTGGAAGTGGGAGGGACTGCTTCATGTTGAGTCTGTTAGTGGGGGAGGAGGGTCATGTTTCTGGGATTGACATGACGGAGAGTCAGGTATGGAGCATCACCATCTGTTAGGGCTGTGTATTGGCAAGAATTTGTCGATACGATTCATATCATGACAGATGGGTCACGATACGATATATCCCAATATATTGGGATACTATAAGCAAGGCGATATATTGCGATGTTTTTGTCCAAATATTCTATTAAATAAAAACCTCTTACTGGAAAAAAAAGAAAAACCAAAATTCATTTTCTCAGAAAATTCTANGCTGGCTCACTGCTGCCAACTAGTGGTCAGAGTCTGAACTACAACATAAAAATGAGCGGCTGGCAGGAAAGTTGACATTTTAAACCTTAATAAAAAAATCGATACAGGACTTTAGAGTATCGATATAGTATCGGGAAATGAAATATCGCGATATTTCAGTGTATCGATATTTTCTTACACCCCTACCATCTGTCATACTGATTGTTCATAAATCTTCAGCTTGTAGTTATCTCATGCTAACTGTCAAGTTGCAGAATTGTTAAGGCAGGTTTTTCTTCTCTTTCTAAATGTACATAGGTGCTGTCAGACATTTTTGAATATAACTGTTCAAATTCTTTGTGCACACGTAATCAAGATAATTTGGATGTTTTCCATCTCTTCAAGCTTGAAGTGGCCAGAGCATATGTGGACTATCACATGAAAGAGTTTGGCTATAAGAAGCCAAATGTCAGTTTTGTCCAGGGTTACATTGAAGCTTTAACTGAGGTGGGTCTGGAACAGAACTCCTTTGATATCACCATGTAAGATTTCAGTCTTTTTGCACCTTATTTGGCTAGCTTTAGTCCACTCAACTGCTTAAAACTTTGCTGCTTGTTGCCACCTTGTAGTTCCAACTGTGTGGTGAACCTCTCTCCGGACAAGAAGAGGGTTCTGGCTGAAGTTTACAGCGTACTCAAGGTAAACTCTTTTACATTCAGCAACATTGTGTATTATAAAATATGCAGTTTGCTTAAATAATCACCTCAAAGGTGTTTCTACTCATCAGGAAGGTGGTGAGCTGTACTTCAGTGACATCTACTGCAGTGGGAGACTAACAAAGGAAATTAAAAATCACAAAATCCTGTGGGGTGCGTTAAGTTTATGTCATAAAACCACGAACACCAGCTAAGCTATCAGTATTTTCCTTTGCTAGTGAAATAATTGTGGCCAATCTGTTGCTGATTTACAACTCCCCTATCACAAAATACAAACAAAAAACTGCTGCTGGTTGGCATCAAAATTCTGGCACATTAGCAACATTTTTACCACTTTCAAACATCTAATCTTGATGCTGACAACCACAGCTGGACAGTTCTGCAGAAAGTTAAAGTCTGAGTAACACAGCAGTGGTTAAACTTGTCTCCTGTTAAAAGGTTGCAGGACTGGGGCTTTTTTGTGTAGAGTATACATGTTCTTCCCGTGCATTAGTGGGTTTTCTCTGGGAACAGTTTGTATCAATATATATTTTGAAGGAAGCCAACAATAGTAATTAAAGGGCTAACATTCCTGGAAGGAATGCATGTTGCACTCCACCTTTAATGCCAAAGTTGTACAAGATTTAAGTTTTGAGTTCTTACTGTCAAAACCTTAAAATCTTTTTGCATCTAATCTGAAGGTGCTTGTTGNCATACAATAAACACTTACAGTTGAGTCCAAGTATTACTGTAGTTTTTTGAAAGTCCATCAAATCGGCCCCAAATCCATCAGCAACAATATGATAATAAATATGAACGTTTGTCCTTATTGCACATTTGCATCAGTCAGTGATGGCAGATTGGTAAAATGTTTGTAACAGTTGGATTATCTTTGCAGGGGAGTGTCTTGGCGGGGCGCTCTGGTGGAAGGATGTGCTGGAACTGGCCAATGAAGTGGGTTTCAGTGTTCCACGACTGGTTACAGCCAATGTTGTGACAGTTGACAACAAAGAACTGGAGGACATACTGGGTACTTTTATATATATTTGTATTTTGTTTGTCTCGAAGGTTGCAAGATTGCTTTCTTTGTGCACATATGGGTTTTCTCTGGGTATTCTAGTTTTCTCCCACAGACCAAACACATGCTTGTTAGGTTCATCGATAACTCTAAATTGTCCCTATAGTTGTGAGTGAGAGCATGAATGGTTGTTTGTCTAACTTGTCACTGACTCTTTGTGTCTGAAAGGCAAATGCAGTTTTATGAACCAACAGGACTGGACATAACAGGTGCAACAGCACTGACAGGACACAGAGATTTCTTTCACACACAATTTGTTGCCCTCATGACCTCATTAAAAAACAACTTTGGTCACTTTAAGGCTTCATTTATGGATGGGTTGTTGAGTTTACCTTCATGATGTGTGAACAGTTTTTGGTAACCAGTTATACTTGGTTAATGT